GAATGGCTCCCTGTTACGTCGCCGTATCCGACACGTGGGCTGAGGAGTGATCCTCATGATCCTCAGGGTGGCTCTCTCGGAGGATTTTGGGTGCGCTGCCCTCGTAGCATCACKCAGTGTTGGATATTCACTTCTTTTTGAGATCTTTTGTTGAATGTTGAATAACAATGATGGTAAGTGCAAAGGGAACTGTGTGCCTTGTGCCAAGATGAGACTGGGCAACTGAAAAAGAAAAAGAGGAGGGCAAAGAAAAGGAGGCCGGTGGTGGCCCCTTGCGTTGAGTTTCTAAGAAGCTCCTCTTTGTACGCTGCCGGGAAGACCCAAGGAGGCCTGGAGCGACCTGTGAGCATCTGGATTCCTTCCCTGGAGGTCTTCCAAACCCGCCTAAATGCCGCCCTGTGCCCCGTGCTCTGGGTGTCCCTGCTGGAGCAAGGGGTTTAGACGAGATGACCCCTAGAGGTTCCTTCCAACCCCAGCCATTCTGGGATTCTGTGATCCAGCGCCGGCTCCGACACTCTCCCCGGTGTCGGAAAGCGTGGAGCAATTGGGGGTTACTGCCTGAGGAATTTTCCGCGGCCGTTTCTCTCTCCTCACAGATGCTTGCGCTGTTGGCCGTGGTGAATGCACGAAGCTGCGCGGCACCTTTCCCATTTCCCCCCGTAGTGAGTGTGAGCTCAGCTTCCAGGGGCTGCTCCTTGCTGCGGCTGCCGCTGCACTGGGACACCTGAACGTGCCGCTTACCAGCCCAAAACCTCCTCCTTCGCCAGCCCCCTCTCCTTCCTGCTCTGCTCCCTCTGGAGACAGTTACATGGGCCGGGATAGCTCAGCTCATCGGATTCATGCCTGTTACTTGTATTGTCCTTTGTGTTCTGATTGTTATATTGTAGTAAGAGCACTGACTCACAGCAGTGACACCCCATGCCGTCCATTCTTGACATTTTGTTCCCTCTGCTTTTTTTCTTCCTCTTTTCTTTCATTTACTTTTTTGTTTTTGTACTAAGTTTAGAGCATCTTCCACTTTTCCTGTCTGTTTTCTGCCTTTACCCTGTATTCCACACATTTTTTCTCCTGTCTCTCTCTTTCTCCCCATATTCTATTTTTTTCACTGTTTCATTTTTCTCTAATTATTCTTTTGCTGTTGTTGTTTTCCTCAAAAACACAGAGTGTTTTGGATGGATGTGACTGTTGAAGATTCGTACATGTGTTAAGGTGTGGAGCACRATGAAGTAAACATTGTAGTGTCAATTTTTATTCTTCCATTCAAGCCACATTTGCAATAACATTTGGGTAAAGGAAAGTGACACAAACAAATCACCTCTTACCCTCAGAGTCTGAGACTGACTGGAGCCCTATACAGTTTCTGGAATGATTCAGAGAAAATTAATGCATTTTTTTCTGTGTATCACCCCAAAAAAGTCTGTTTGGCAACTTCAGATAACATGCTGCAGCTTTCAAGGGAAAACACTTTCCTTAGTCTTGGTGCCAGGAGTTGGGAGTATAAAGTCCTTGCACTCCGGGAAGCTTCTTGGCCTTCGGATCTGCTGGTTTKCTGGAGATTTTCCACTTACGGATATGCATGAAAGTTCTGCCACTTTGCAAAGAATCAAGCTAATCAAAACTAATACGATTTTGTGTGTTTGYATAATAATGATGGGAGAAATTGGTGCTTGGGATCTGTTTGCCGGTTGCGTGTGCGAGGGMGAATCGCTGCCTAGAGGTAATGGGGATTTCCCCCAGGGATCTTAGGGGTCACAGAGAAAYGTCAATGCTTCCCAAAGCAGGTGCTTTTGAGGACATTTTATATATTGTTTTCTTTTCCCGGTGCCTTTCCCGAAGCTGCTCTGGTGCCGGCCTGCTTGGCTCTGTTTGCAGCGCGTTGCAAAGCCGAGCAGGCGCCAGCCAGTGACTTTTCAGCAACACTATTTATGTTGTGCTTTGCATCATTTTGTTCCGTTTCGTGTTGAAACTTCACAAATTCTATTTCTGTTGATTTGATTGGAGTTACTGAAAAGTGTGTTAGTGATTTGTATAAATCAGGGGTACTTCTGGGGCTGAGGTTTTTAGTTAGTTGTTGGGAAGAAAGCTACGTTTTGGACGTGTTACTTGGAAGAATACAGTTTCTTGCCAGAGTGGCATTTACTGCCAGCAAGTCCTATCACTTTTATTTTATGCTTGAAAAGCAAGAGCTGAATTATGGCTCACTTTCGTGTTAGAAAAGGAATTAATTTGCAATTAATTCCCTCTTTCCTTTGGGATCCACCTGTGTATCCCAAAAAGGGGAACACTAAAAGTTACCTCGTGTGTCATTTGAGAAGCCCCATTTAAGCCTCCCGTCACCTCGCTCCATTCAGAGGGTGTTTCTTCTGTATATTAATCATATTTTCTTCTGGCTTATTGCTGAGTGGAAACATACTCAGGTCCGCATGTTAAAATGGGGCACATTTTATTAGCATTAGAGCAGTGAATTACCTCTGCTGTAGGAGGGGAGCGAGCCCTTTGTGCTGCGCTCTTCCCGGCCTGCCCCTCGCYGGGATATGGGACTTTCGGATGCCTCCGAGGGCCCCGGTGCCGTGAAGTGTCTTACAGCTGTGAGGGAAGCTGCGCGTTGCGGCAGCGCACGGAGAGGAGGTGCCCTCAGTCCTGTGTCAGTAGCTCCTCTCGAGCTATCTGCACTTTATAAGGATGTCGGTTAACCGAGAGACTAGGACACACGTGGAAGAATAACCATCGTTGCAGTGCACTCCAGGCAGAGTGTTGGACCTCATCCCACCCTACAGAGGCGTGRGGTACCTAAGGAGCCGGCAGGCATTGCCCAGTACAGTTTTCAACCAGCTTGGTGGTTTAAATGTTTGACTCYTGACGTGCTGTGGGACAGCACTGGTCAGAGTGGCAGTAATGTAAGAAAAATATAGGAAGAAGCAGGTGTGGTGGTAGCRTGGTGATGTCAGCTTGATTTGCTTGGCCAATGTGAGGAGGAACTTCTTCACTGAGAGGGTGMCAGAGCCCTGGCCCAGGCTGCCCAGGGAGGCTGTGGAGTCTCCTGCTCTGGAGACCTTCCAAACCCACCTGGATGCCRCCCTGTGCCCCGTGCTCTGGGTGTCCCTGCTGGAGCAGGGGACTGGACTAGACGATCTCTAGGGGTCCCTTGCAAACTCAACCCTCCTGTGATTCTGTGGTTTCAAAACTGATGATCACTTCAGCATCTTTTTGGTGATAATAATAGTAATGATAATAATAATTGAACTACCTTCAATCAACGCAAATCTTTGCAGTTCAGTACCAGTTGTGTCCCTTTTTTATATGGTTTATATTGAAATTGGAGATCTTGGCAAGCCATGTATACAGCCTGCTATATTCTTTTCTGAAAATAACTCAGTATCAGACCCGCAATACYACTTTTGCAGGGAATGTTGCTTCCCGTAATGTCAAGTGACCATGTCAAGGGTAAAGAGTGGGTTTTTTGTTTGTTTTAAGCAGAGCAACATTCTCATATTGGAAATATGAAAAAAATAAGGAAAAAAATGCATATTGAAGCTGCTTCCTTTGGACAAAAGATCATGCTTCAGCAAATGCTTTTGTGATTTTTTTTTAGTAAATGTGTGATAAAATGTCCTCACGTAACAGTAATCGTGGCCAGTTTAACACCCGGAGCTTTTAGTTACACCCGTGTGTGCGCGTGCAACTTTCTGCCCGCCTGTCGCTGCTGCTCGAGTCACGTTTCCCTCCCMTCTCTCCCTGCTGCTCCAGTGCTGCGGGATGACTTCCGCCAGAATCCCACGGACGTCGTGGTGGCCGCCGGAGAGCCGGCCATCCTGGAGTGCCAGCCGCCCCGCGGGCACCCCGAGCCCACCATCTACTGGAAGAAGGACAAAGTCCGCCTCGATGACAGGGAAGAGCGAATCAGCGTGAGTAGGGCTGCAAGGAGGTTGTTGGTAGGCAGGCAGCTGAATGAAGCCCAGAGCAACGTGCAGCCGGGGGCGAGGGTGAGGACACGCCGAGATGCCAGGGCTTCGGAAACAGCCGAGGGAAACAGGTCCGAATGGATCTGGAGATATTCGAGCCTCTTCCATAGAGACTCATCATTACAATTGACAGTATTTTTCTGTGAACTTTCCCCAAGAAGGAGAAAGAGTTGTTTATTCCTTCTGATTTTGGAGTCTGACTTGAAATTCTTGGGGGCTTTACTTGATGGTATGTGTAAACAAATGGGACAAAATACGGGTTGCATGGTTTATTCTCTTTAGATGCTTAGCTTTTCCCTATTAATATTCTCTCAGAATTTGTTATGATGTTCGTAGGGATACGTAACCCATTCGGTGCTGCTGTTACTCYGTATGGAAGTACTGCTAGAAGACTTGTTCCTGGCCCTGGTTGGCAGAGGCAGCCCCGCAAGATAACCAGTGGCAGCAGTTGCTGTTTGGGTGACTGTGGCCAGGCTGTGTCTGCAAGGGCCTGCTCAAGAGTAAGGGGGAAAGGAAAAGTGACAGGGAACTGGCTCTTGTTCCCTGCCTCCCAAGTTCCTTGGGCTATATCCCAAGATCATTTTGAAGCAACCCATCTGATGTTCTGACTTTTGACACTGACCATAACTCCACAAGCTGCAAATTAGTAACTGGGCTTATTTTAGCTGCTCTGCTCTTTCACTCTCCAAATTTTATCTGTAGTAGGGAAAATGACAAGGCCTTTAAGAGCCAGGTGAATTTTCAGTGTGTGCTTGATTCAGTCTTCTTGGATCTCCAAGAAAAACACCAAGTGAACAGTCTTGTTCACTCAATTTAGTCAACAACAAAACTGTTCAAGYGCCAATAACAATAAAACAAATTAAATAAATGAAACTAAATAGCCCTGTCTTTTTTAAAGAGATCCATCAAGAATGCTTTACGTAGTACCATGCAAGAAATACAAGCACTGCATTGCTAAAGAGGCAGCAGGAAATATGCTCTTTGAAATCTACAGCCTCTAAYGAAAACAAAGAAATGAGCCAAACAGTCAGTAGGATAAAAACGTCYTCCAGAACAATTTTGCTGCCTGAGAATGCAGGGTGGGTTTGTTTTTCTGACAACTTCTGTGCGTTTTTGAAGCGACAGATAATATATTCCTTGCTTTAAAACAGATCCGTGGTGGGAAGCTGATGATCTCCAACACGAGGAAGAGCGACGCTGGCATGTACACCTGCGTGGGAACCAACATGGTGGGGGAGCGAGACAGCGACCCCGCGGAGCTCACCGTCTTCGGTAAGGCTGCTTCAGCTCTGCCTTTCTCTCCCCATAAGCTTTCTTTTTGCCATAAACGTCATGGGCCTAGCTAAGTCGTCAAAATACGTGACTAAATCAGGTTCACAATATACTGGCTTAAGCTGCATTGCCCAGTTTCCTGAGGAGAGCAGGTTTCAAAGGTGGTCATGTAAAAATGCGGGGCTGTGGTGGCCCAACATTTTCTTTCTAAGCACACAGCTTAAATCTAATTGGAGGTCCTTAGTGATACGCACATGCTCGGAAACCATAATCCAGGAGGTAATGCTCTCCCTCACAAAACTGGCAAGTATAATTGAGTCACTTTTAACCCAGCTGACAGTGCCTACTTAGCAGAGGTTTGGACCAGTGCTTCCTATTTAAATAATTCCTTCTTCCTTTGGGATTGTGAAATCAAACCTTTGTAACAGAGCACAAAAGAGCTCAATTGCCCAGTAAAAAGTCCTTAGATAAAATCCTGGGATCAGCTTGCTGAATGTTGAAAAAAAGATACAGCTGTCATTTTTTGCCTTGTAAAGGGCACAGAGGAGCTTTTTGTTATGTGAGCTTTGGCTTTTCATGTTGCCAAATGAATCAGAAATGCTTAGGTTTCCTGTGTGACACAGCTGCCCGACTTGGTGGGTGAAGCGAGGAGCTACTAGGATCCACCAAGAGCTGGATCCATTCTGCTAACAACTGGATGAAAAGCAAGGTCAAACAAGCCTGCCGTGGTAGATGCTGCACTCACGCCATTTCTGTTTTGCCATTAGCTTTGTTTCTGGGGGTATCAGTCAAGAGGTCTTGAGCAAACAATAGAAAATCAATAAGGAAGAAAAGTCCTCACTGCTAAAAATGAATATATAAATACAAAAGAGAAAGAGAAAGAACTTTAAAGCTTCCTCCYGTTACTTTCTTGATACATGGCAAAAACCTAAGTAAGACTCGTAATTCCAGTAAGACTTTTCATAGAGATCCTAAGCTCCTTTGTAAAGCAGATGTTCCTAATCTGTTCACCTTCTGCCTAGTGTGGTACACTGGGAAAGTCAATCACAAATAATGCTACCTGTGTTTGCAGATATGTGTGTTTCAGCTTGTGCTTGTCCAGCTGTGGGAGTCACACGAGGCATAGAAAGGTTTCTGTTAGACAAGATCCGTAAGGGATGGAGCATTTGTTCCTGTCCAGTGTTGCAAGACCATAAAGGCTTCTACTGCACTTACTTGGYTATAGGTTCAAGGAAGCATATGAATTTTTAAAATACAACTTGAATACTTGGCAGAAATGCTGAAACGATCTCTATCACGTTATTATCTCCATTGCAACCAATACTTGGGCTTGTGCCTTTATAGAGATGTAAGAGCTATGAGGTATCTTCTTCATCAGCTTCAGTACTGGCAATCTCTGGTAATACTCTCTGTGGATAGTAAGCAGATTGCAGTCCTAAATTATGAAGCCCTAAGAAACCCCTTAAGAAAATGATTTGTTAAAAAACATTGACTCATTGGAATAAAAAATATGAAATATGCATCCAATTTCATATCCTGCAGAGATCAGAAAAGTATTAGGTTTGCCATGCAAAATATAAAATGTTATATAGTCAATTACAACATTCTGAAAAAATGTTATAGGATTTAATCATAGCAGTCAACTCGTAAAATACAATATATTCTGCAGGTACGGCATAAAATCAGCAGTAAATGAAATTATAAGTTCCATTTTTTTTCATAACCATCTATCTGAAGAAAATTGTATATAAATTTTCCTTTCTACTTGGGTGTCTTCCAATCTAAAAATTCCTTTTGTTTCGAAGTATTCCCTTCCTAGCTAAGGAATAGGGTTCCCATCCTATCTTGCAGTACAGGAGTAGCATGCAGTAAGTAAGCGGTGCTGCCGTTACCTTGTCATTGCCTGACAAGACAACTTGGCCCCAGCCCCTGCTGCTGCTTGGCCATCGTGTGTCCCACAGAGACTGTCCTGGTCTGCTCCAGGGGACAGAGGGTGCCTTCAGTTGGCCTTCCACCAGGAGTGGTGKTGTTCCTTACAGTCCCATTCCAGGGTTGTAGGCAGGAGGCTGGGTGTGCTGGAGGGCATCATCCGTGATGCTTCCAGGAAACAACGTATGTGTTGGGCACTGGCATCCCTGGAAGCACTTGCAGTAAATGCACCCACTCTGGGATGCATGGAGTCGACTGTGCATGGTCCAACTGGCTCTGCTGAACACGAACAAAAAGTCCCATTATCTGCTCCTAACCTTCCTCTGCAGACACAAGGCTCCGACTCAGGGATCCAGGAGGCATGGGAATAGTGCAAATGGASAAAAAATATATGTTAAAAAAACATAATTCTTGGTTAATATTCAGGTGCCCAACTTCAACTGTTCTGGACATGTCTAACAGGCTTTATAATTAAGGTGTGTTGAGTAAGAGACATAGAGGTTTGAATAATGTGGCTGGCTTAGCCGACAACTAGTGCAGACTCTGGAGAGCAGAGTGTATTAATTAGCTGATTATTAATGTCTCTACTCCTTTCCCAAATAACAAACCAAGAAACCCGTTCTCCCCTCTGAAGGGAGCCTTGGTAAATACCCTGTTCTGCGGGRGGTGGAACTGTCTCACACTGGCCCTAAACCCTTCCCAGGAGTCGGCCACTTGTTTCTCTTGGCTCTGCAAGTTTCTTTTAATACCTGAAATTAATTTTCTGCGTGTCACTCATGACAGATCTCTGGTTCCCTGTGCAATAAATTTAGCTGGAGGTATTGCCTCTGGAAAATCTGAGCTGGTGTGGGGGTAACTAGTGGCCTGATAGCAACAGCAGGGGAGCCAGGCCTGGAAGATTACACCTTTCTCGAGTTAAAAATAAAAAGGAAAGGTCAATGAAAACCTTGGAAAGACGTGGAAGGAGAGAAGAAAAGTTTCCCATATGCAGAATGTATCCACTCAGATGGGTACCCGTGCAATAACCTTTAGTGAAARGTAGTTATTCATAATAAAGGCAGAACTCTCACAAAATAAGTGATTTTTTTCCACCCTCTCCGCATGAGAAACAGAATTTGAGTATTTAGGCTCTAGCCTGCAGTAAATGCCAGCGTGTTGGAGKTGTCTGTTCAAGTTGCCTTCCCTTGGTTCCCTAGTCATGACTCTTCTACAAGCAGAAAATTGCCAAACTTTCCCAGTCAAATGTCCTAGCACAAGCTGATGATAGATTCCCATGATGATTCCCAGAATCTTTCCTCTGCTTTGAATAGTGACACTTGATGCCATTAGAGTTTGTTAGTCCTCTCTTCCAAGCCCTGCTGCTAGTTTATGCTTTGTGGGGCTCCAAGCTGTAATCTCGGAGCCGAGCAAGATGGCAAGGTGGCCTTTAGAGCAAGTTCCTGAGTAACCCATCAGGGCTACCAGTCACAAAAGGCAGCAGCCTAACGTTACTGTCAACATGCCGTATCCTATAGGCCAAATTCGGACGTGTAAGTGATACAAATTAGGCTGGTTTATTTGTATTTAGGCTCATAGGTGCTGGTGAAGAGAATTCAAGACAGATGCAATACAGAAACATGATTCAGTATGTAAGAAAGCTTGGTATGCAAATACCTAGGATGAATGCAAGAATTAAATCAAGTTTACCATTTCAGCTTTTCTTTTTGGCATTTGTTCATGCTGTTGCACTGTTTTCAAGTTTTCAAGATGTTTAATGATTTTAACCACCTTTGTTTCCTTTGGACTTAAAAGCAGGGTTGTAGACACTGTACAATGTGTATCTTGTGTATTGATCCTGCAGTCCAGTGGAATCGATGGAAGCCTTAATGTGTGGAGCTGAAGAGGCTGGCAACAGGCGGTGGGAAAAGGATGGAATGCATTTAGAAAAGCCTCGAAAGAGCACGGAGCGTAACTGAGAAAGGGACAAAAATAACTTAAAAGAGATATCATTTTGGCTATATTAAAGATTATTTTAGACTAATCTTTGATTTTAGCCTCGGTACCTGAATCTTTTTTTCAGCTAATAAGGTCCTGTGGGATGGAGATGTATTTTTGTCTCTTGCGTGAAGAATATCTATGTTTGATGTTCTCCAGAGACGTCAGGTTGAAAGAGATTCAAGCTCCAGAAAGAATCTACTATAGCTGGCATGGCGTTARGAGAGAAACTCCAAAAGCCCCTTGATGGAGATGTTCTGACCCCTCTTCCTCCTTTTTTTCTTGAAGCTCCCTGAGCTCTGAGTGTTTAGAGGGCCTTAGTAGGGGCTCTTGTCACATCATATCCTGCAAACTAGTCCCAAGTTTCCCAGTCCCACAGAAAACCTGCCTAAGTCAGGTGCACACTCACAGTTCAGGTCAGGATGGAGAAASCAGCAGTGTTTATTTTGTCCTTCAGAATAAAGCTCCTCCTGTGTTTCCTCAAATCTTTACATTTCCCACCTGCCATGTGCTTTCGGTAGTTCGTTAAAAGATACTATGGCTTTGCAATATTTGTTATCCACAGGTACACTTTGTAATAGGACAACGATATAACCTGAAAAAGGGTCTGACTTAAATCTCCAAAGGCTGTGCCGTATGTTCAGGAAAAGCTGTTCCTGAAACTAACCCAAGAGTAGATGTGTGTTAAAGGAGAAGAGCTCTAATGATCAATACAAATCATTCTCGTTTGTTTGCATGTGCTGCTTACTTAGCAATGTGCAGGGCCTTTATGGTCCAGGCTCACAGGATCCTCGTCAATGTGCAGGAGGAGGAAGCTCGCAGTAACTCCAGAAAGCTTATTTAGCAAATGAAAAAGAAGAAAATGGCCAAAGAGAGGCAGTAGAAGCAGGATTTTAAATAGGAAATCTCATGATTTTGCAACTGTACTGTCACGTAGTTGAGAATTGGCACATGGATATTTCGTCAGTACAAATTCAGTGCGAGCTTTGTGGCCTGTCTTCTTCCATATCTTCAGTTTTGGCAGAAGGAAATTTRTGCAGTGCAGATCACGCTGTGGTTAATGAAATAAAAACATATTTGCAGTGTTCTTAAAAGAAACTTACTTTTGTCCATTTAATGTTACTTTTTTGTTTACATCAGAGCTTCCGGATGAACAAAGTAGGCAGGAGCAGGATTTGGTTGGCTGGTTGCTTTCTCTCTCTCTTTCTCTCTCTCTCTTTTTTTTTTTTTTTTTTCCTTTTTTTAATTAATTACTATTTAATCTTTCCCCAAGCTGAGTCTTTTACTACAACTTCTAGTGCTTCTTCCTAGAACAGGAAAGCATTTTTAAAAAATGATCTCTCCAGGAAAGGAGGAGAAAACAGTTCTAAATCAGATTGAGTCTCTGCATTATAGGGACAATCAAATCCTTCACTCCAGCAGTTGCCTCAGCAGAGAAAATATATTACAGTAGTTAGGATCATTTTAATTAGATTGAGGTCCCATATATGGTTGTCTAAGTTTTTGAGGAGCAGAGGAAGGGCAGTAATACATCTGAAGGTCACCAGAGTCTCTCTAATGGACTTGAATACCCACRGCAGTTGTTAAATAGAGGAAAAATTGAGTTCTGGGGTTGACTTAAGGCAGCACCCAGAGCAAGGAAAGGCTTCTGTTTTGCCAGTTCTGGGGAACTGCATCCACTGAACTATTTAACTCAGGTTTTCTTGCAGTGCCTTTCTCCAGCACTGCAACGTATTGTAGGTGTCTATCCCAATTGCTTTAAAAATCCCCTTTCATAAGTGCAAGCAAAGTTTATTCCACATTATAAAGGTCACCCTAGCAATAGCACGACTGGCTGACATGACATATAACCGTGACCTATTTTATAGTTCTCTTCAAAGATTTTTAATATTCATTAGAGAAAGTCTGGGCAAGCAGGTACTTTATTTACTCAGTGAAAGCTTATAAAAATACCATATTAAAATTTATATGTCTGTAATTTTAATTTATTGCTTTTTCTTGTTGTTCCTCAAGTATATTATGTTCTGAATACGCTTGACAGAGTAAAAACGTTTAATTATAGCACCAGGCTTTGTTATGGRCAAATGGTTTGGAAAGAAAAAGGCAAGAGACATTTTCTCAGCTTGGGCTGTGGAGCTGCTTGTGAGGGGAAGAACCTTCCTTATTCCACATGCTCAAGCAAGCAGTGCTCTGTCTCCTGAGAGATTAACATTGTGAGCAACTTGTGCAGGTGACTCAAATCCGGTTAATCTCACATAAAGAATGTTAATTGCATTGGCAATGGCGTTGCCTCTGATCACTTTATGGCTGTATAATTAGCTATTGGACATGTTCAAGGGGTTGTCTGAGTGATACAAATGCAGGAAACAACACGAGAGAGAACTCGCTCTTTCCTGGTTCATACTGTGCAAAATGCAGAGATGATGGCAAAATGGAAATAACAGTTATTGTAATTTGCATGTCCTTGATAACTGTGATCAGGACTTAGGTAGCTATTTATTTGCTCAAAAATTATTTAACTGTTGTGAGAAATATGCAATTTTGAGAAACTGGTCTGAAGGAAACAGGTTTCCCCTTAAATTGCTTTGCTGTGGAATTGAGTGTTTTACCCAATGGCCTTTGGACCACTTGCTGCCTCATCAACTCGGTTCTCCTCAAAATGTAACAGGAATTTATTTTCCCTTCTTCTGTAGTTTCCCTCTTAGATACACAAAATTATACACAGACCAMGGACGTTGCTTATCACTAAGGTTAACAAGGTTAAGGTTCTAGTTATTCAAGGTTCTAGTTATTTTCTTCAGTTTGGCCAAGCCTGCCAAACTAGAATTACTTTATCCCAAGTTTTCCATGTCTAATGCCTGCTTCACTTTCTTTTTTTTTATTTTAACTTTGCCAGGATAGTCACTTTTCTGAGAACATTGAACAAGAATAACACTGAACATTGAACAAGAATATATGCTAGCTTGTGTCCAGTTCCTTCAGCTGGGAGGTGAAAGATGTAGTTGGAATAAATTGGGAAGGATGCAAGGGAGAGGAATGGATGAAGATTTCTGTTCTGAGAAAATGCAGGTCCATACCAAACAAAAGAGACCTAAAAGGAAATAACTACTATGAATCTGGGGCTTTTCCAAATATTTTTGACAAGATTTAGTTAATTATGAACCTTTTGGAAAAGAAGTAAGTTCAGACTCCACAGAGAGCAGGTGGATCCTAACAGCGGTTTCCCCGCAGCTGCTCTGTGGTAGCCTGTCAGTCTCCTGGGGTGATGCTTGGTCACTCCAGACAGTTTTCCTTGCAGTAATATTCAGGATGGGCCATATGAGTTTGAGTGTAAATGAAATGCAGAGTGGGAGAGAGGCAGTTTGGAGTAAGACATAAAGAAGTTAGGGGCATGGATGATTGGAAGGCAGACTGGGCTCGCATGTGAACAACGATATTCTGGGAGAGGAGACAGGCTGGCTGTGGGAGCAGGCTGCCGCTGGAAAGAAAATGGTAAAACTACAGGGAAAAACWCGAAGGATTTTGGAAGTACTGGCACAGGCTGGATGGGGCACAGGTAGGGCTGAACCTAGCTGGAAATTGGGAACTGTCAGGAGACACAATGCAAGTGCATAGAGAAGGAAAACTCTGGTTGAGAGAGACTACCTATTTAAGGCAATTCCAAACAAGGAGCTGAAGATTAGACATAGCTGATGATACACTGATGACTTTGGAAAAAGGAATATAGGCTGGAATTTCAGAGCAGATGAAGACTAGACCTGAACGCAATTGCCAAGAACTGCTGGGACCTGCAAGGGTAGGGTGGAGATGAGGCAACAAGAACAGCGATGGTTCACACAAGAGCAATGGTGTGGGAGAGATGGGCAGAAGCTGCTCTGCTCCTTAGACATATCTTTAGCATGTGGAGAAGTTCCTTGAGCGTGCCTGCTCTTCTGCTGGAGTCAAGATTCAGCTCATTCTTCCCTGCTGAGGGGTAGCACCACTTCTGTTAKGGAGTTCCTGTGTGCTCATTTGTGATTCATTTCAGCTGCCAGGAGCTGGTCACCACTTTTGTGTTCCTCATTTCCTCACTTAAAATTCTTATTGGTACAAATGCTGAACATTTCACCATTTGTGATTGAATTCAGTTGTATCTAAGCYTTGAGCATAGAGGAAAAAATACTCAATTCCAAAATAATAAATAAATAAATAAGCTGCTCTGTGTCTTGTTGGGTGTACCCATTTAGAAGGTATTTTTACGTTCCTTTTATGGTTTTCTGTCACACTTCACTCAGAAGCTGTGAAAATAAATGAATTGTTTATGAAGCATAAGTGTAATTGAGGTCCAGAGGAAATTAATAAATCTGTCTTTGGACTGAGGCTTGAATAATATGGCAGGAGGCCACCCACTAAATAGTACGAGTAAAGCAAAATATTAAGCACCTGTTCACTAAATGACTACCAACAAACTAGGGATGTTTGGAGAAAAAAAAATGGAATCATATAATTGCAACCAGTGAAGCATATGAGGCATAAAGGGAAGTAGAGTGATTAGAGGACATGTAGCCAGGCTTTATGCTGGCACTTCTGAGGTGCTGCATGCACGGTTTTGCAACCTTATTCATGTTGTTTAAATGGTTTGTATTGATGTTTAATAAGCRGGGGTAGGCAACCTATAAACTCAGCTCTGTAGTTACCAGGACAAACTGCCAGGGCCTGTCTGGTATCGCTTACATATGTGTGAGTTTTGAGTAGTTTTTAAAGTGAAGTCATCTTCCTCAATGTGCAGAGAATGCAGGGTGGTCACGGTGCGTAGCCACTTTTAAATGTCTTTAAAATAAAAGTACCAGTCTTGAGTGAAAATCCTGCTTCGGGTAACTCAGTCTTAGTACAGTTTGTCTCTGGCATAAATAACTCATAACAATGAAAAGGTGGATATMGGTAGGAGAGGACAGAACAAAATTTATGCACTCCAAAGGCAACGTGGAAACCCACCCCAGTGACATCCCTTCAAATGAAATTACTGGTACTTGAATTTGTACCAGCACAACTAAGATCAGACTGTGTCTCTGCATCTGGATTGTAAGCAGGCCTGTGCAATATTACAGTGATTAATAATATTTGTAGCYGCACAGGCTAGCATAACAAGGGTAAACAGAACTTATTGTGCAGCGCGTAATTTAGTTTTCCGTGGTGAAGTTGGTGATGGACATCAGGGAAGCTTTGACCTCCGTACGGCTGTGATTCGAAACCCGGAGCTCGTTTTCCTGCGCGGCATCGAGGCACCGATTACTGCCGAAGGTGGGATTGCCCCGCTGGCCGCTCGTGCATTCCCAGCTGCCTCACTCGACCATTCCCGGCGCAGGCAGCGGCCRGCACACGGCTCTCTGTGCAGGCTCCGTGCGGAGCCGCCGCAGAGCGCGYGCCGTGGGCGCCCGTCTGTTGGTGGCGGCCGTTAGGTCTGTTGGCGGCGGTCGTTGGGTCTGTTGGCGGTGTCTGTTAGGCCYGTTGGCGGTGGCCATTAGCTCTGGTGGCAGTGGCCGTTAGCTCCATGGGGGCCGCCAGTAGCTCCCTTGGTGGCAGCATTAGCTCTGGTGGAGGTGGCCGTTAGGTCCATTGGTGGCGGCCATTAGCTCCGTTGGCGGCAGCCATTAGGTCCGTTGGCGGTGGCCGTTAGCACTGGTGGCAGTGGCCGTTAGCTCCCATGGTGGCGGTCATTAGCTCCCCTGGCAGCAGCCGTTAGCTCTGTTGGCAGCTACTGTTAGCTCCTTTGGTGGCGGCCGTTAGCTCCGTTGGTGGCGGCCGTTAGCTCCGTTGGCGGCCGGCGCCCGCGTGCGGGCACAGTTCGGCCGCTGCCGCCTCTCCAGCCTGGCAGCCACCCTCGAGCTGCTTGTGCACCTCACCAGCTCTGCTTATCCGAATCGGTGGAGCTCGGCCTCCTTTCTGCATTCGGTGTGGGGGAAAAGGGGAAAAATATGCTGAAAAGTCAGAGTCTGAATGCTGGCCCTGCGACTCACCGAGGGATTTCCTTGTGTCCCTGCAGAGCGGCCCACGTTCCTGCGGAGGCCGATCAACCAGGTGGTGCTGGAGGAGGAGGCTGTGGAGTTCCGGTGCCAGGTGCAGGGGGACCCGCAGCCCACCGTGCGCTGGAGGAAGGACGACGCGGATCTGCCGAGAGGAAGGTGAGCGTGGCCCGGGCGGGCGCGACGCCGCTCACTGGTGACCTGGAACCATGGGCGGGTTTTGTTGTCCACCTCTCTGCTCTTTGGCTCACGTGAAATGTGTTCCAAGGGCGGCTGAATAGGGGAAATTTTCCAAGGTGGAATTGTTCAGCTAATGGATTTGTGCAGAAGGAACAAAATCGATGCAGAGCTGCTGTGCCTATAGGCACTGAATTTGCTGGAAAAAAACGAAAAATTCAGAAAAAAAATGAGTGATGTACTAGTAAGGCTACTATTACAAGGAACCTTTATAATAACGTGCTGGTATCCAAAGGGAGAAAACTTGGCCAGGCTGTTGCAAGGCTGCTCTGTCACGCTGGCTGGATGAGTTAGGAGCAGAACCCTGTGGCTGGCTCTGCTGGCTCCTTCCCCAGTATCTGCTGGGTGTCAGAAGGAAACCTTCCACTTGTGGAAATAACAGTCAGAAGCAAAAAACAAAGTTGAAATGCTTCATCTGGAACGGGCAGGCACACAGACAGGAAGAGAGATTCCTTTAATCTGGAACAGATGCCGAGCAAATTCCTGAGTGACCAGAGGCATGGGAGGATGCTACATTGATCTGCTCCCTGCTTTCTGGAACTGTATCTAGAATAGGTGTTAGAGCCATTATCAAATCAAAAACAAAAAACAAGAACAGCAAAAAAAAAAATGGAAATGGGCCTGAGAACAGGAATGAGAATCCGAGGTCTCCCTCACCTGTCCTCTCCTTTAGACCTTGTGAATCCTGTCATTTTTTGCTCAGTGCAGTCAAGCTCCATGGGAGACTTGAGGCGGACCCTCTTCTCCCCCCACAGTTGCTTGTTTTCCATCAGTGTCGGCCCTTCCTGGAACATAGCAGACATACCTGGAAGAAGGGAAAAAACGCAGGTCTCCTGGCCGCTGTGAACACTGGTGGTCCCAGTGCAGGCTGGCTGCCAGAGTTATTTCTGCTCCCGGAGTCGTGCTCTTTAAGAAAGAGCAGCTGCAGTGGTGTTGGTGCCTTGTTTGCTCCTGTCAGTGCACATTAAGTGCACTGGGAGCATGCCACCAAGTTGGGCCCAGCTGTAAACAAGTTAGGCGTTGCTGTCAGCTTGCTTTAGCACAGCGAGCTGCACGCGCTCACCCCAGCAAGGTGAAACGGGGTAAGACTGTTATCTGGCGCTTTTCATTTCAATTGCTAAATATGGCATTTAATGTCACTTACCATTTCATGAAAACCKGTGGCAAAATTCCCTGTTAGCCACGCAGCACTTTGTCATGTTGTCTTGGGTTTATAATCTTGTTTCTCAGTGTCGAAATATTTAATAAAAGAATAAAACTGAAATTGGAGGATACCTGTCTGAGGTTCTGTATCCTCAGCACTGTTACATATCTTCTTGGAGTATGCAATCATGCATTTAAATAGATTAATGTAATTATTAATTTAATGATACATAGTGCAGGAAAAACATTTCTTTATATGTGCAATTTTTGAATTTTTTTGTTGGCAATTTAAAACAAATTTTAAAATGGCGTGGCTTCTTTGATARTTACATTGATAGATGTGTGCATGCTATGCATAAAATACTTTTCTGAAGAGCAAACTTTTTGATATCAAGATGAATTTTTGTTTGCTCACTGTTCAACTGTGCATTGTAGAGTAGCCCATAGTAACTATATTGTGCTTCAGTGATTGAATGTCTTAGTGTTTTACTGCTGCTGTTGTCCTAAGTCATGACTACCTTTAGGTCTCGTAAGTAGCAATAATGTCCTGATGTCCTGATGATGCCTTTGATTAAATCGCATGTTCTATGAGTTAATTTGCTTTTAATAAMTTTATTTTTTCCTTCTCTTCTATACTTGAAAACGTAATATTAGCACTACATGTTTGGAGGTTATTGTTTGTTCATTTATTGTCTCTAAAAAGAAATGAAAGTATTACAAGTGTTTCACTGTGCTCCTAACTAAAAGAAGGGGAGGTTCATCAGATAATTTCTGATAGTTATCAACTTCAAGCATAGAAACTACTCTCAGAGTTGTGTTCTTTTTTACAGTACTGTTTAAACACTGCATTCCCTATGTTTTGGCMTCTAAAAATTGGAATATGGCTTTATTCATGACTGTTTCCCAGAATATCATAGGAATGGGCATGGAAGGGGCCACAATTCAAAATCATTTGCTGGAGACCATGTGTTCTGGATGGGTTCGGGGCTCAGCAATTGAAAGCACACGCACTGAGAGCAAAATCCACCCCTTAGTTTATTTAGGACAATTCACACTAACATCACACTAAAGCAAGACGACTACTTAGCAACTACCTGCGGAACGAGGCGCCTACGTAGCAATTACTTACRAGAGGATACTTGCCAGCAGGACAGCGAGCCCGATCATTCCCCCGCCGTGGACCAGAGGTGGCTGACAGGCTCCAAGCTTGCGGGCGTCCCCGCGGAGACAACGTAGGTCTCGGTTGGAAGTCTCTCCCCCCCTCTGATCCACGATTATTTTTTATATCTGGCGCATCCCGCCACGTAGGGCCMCCACGTGTCAGGAGGCGTACCAGAGGGCAGGCAAAGCTCCACCTTTTTCGTTATCCAATTTTGCCCGGTGTGCGCATGCGCGCCCACCAGTGGGGGTCTCTAGTCTTGTTAGGAGGGTCCCGCCTTCATCATCTTCCTCTCCCTCGCCTCAGGTTTGACCTCCAAACGGGCTTAGAGGTCGGCTGTGTTTTGGTTGGCCCCATGCCTTCTGGCACGGCCGCCTCCAAATTCCTCAGTTGCTCCTCACCTCCTCTTATACACCATGTTACCTCGTAGAGGAGCCACAGTTGCTGCCAGTGTAGAGGCTTGGCACCACCTGAGCCACATGTGTTGTTGCTGTGTAGCATAATCCAGAATATACCAAGCAAAATCAAATATCTCTGATAATCAAGACTTTGTGCTTTATTTTCTAAAATAAATATATAATTTATGTAACTGTAAACATCAACAGTCTTCATCACCAAAGAGCGGAAATTTCCAGACTGTGCCATAGGACATTCCATCAAGGAAGCTAAATTTGGGATATCTGAAAGAAAAACTGCTTTTTTTCCCTATTTTTTTTAAATGTAGACAAAGCAATTTATCCATCAGTAATCTGAATTAATAAGTTAAAAGGTGATACTATAATAGTTTCATTTTTAATTTCACTAATGGAAGTAATTGAGAAGATAAGTTTTTCCTCCTTGATGATAAAAGAGATTTAGCCCCGAACTAGCTTTTATCTTCTGAGCTTCTGCATTCTCAGCAGTGTAACAGCTACAGCAAAGTATGAAGCCCTCCAAGAATTCCCTTTGCTATTCTTTCCATATACATAAGCCCTTCTTCTGAGCCATTCTGCACAGCTAKTTGTCTCACAGTTTTCAGTGTCAAGTTCTTGTTTCTACAGCTCATAGTCATTCTTTGCACATCTGTCTATATTTGTTACTGTTTTTTTCAATAATTTTCTTGTGGCATCATCCCTTGATTCTTATAGTAGGTATTTATTCCAACCATTATTGCCAACCTATTTTTTTTTCTATTGCTAGTTCAGTTTTCAAAAGTGTCCGTGTCTGTGACAACCAAGTGTGATAAATTGTATTTTTAATTTTGGTATGCATACTGTTTCTGTAATGTACTCCCGGTGAAGGGCAGAGATTTTGCTCTGTCTCACAATCACTCTTGCTGAGTGCATAGTCTTTCAAAAATCCTTCTCTGTATTTTTGTCCTACTTCCTTTTAGCTTTCTTGATGAGAAGGTGAGATCAAAGAGATAATAAATAATCACAATGCGTTCTAATGACATATGTAAACAGCTCCACCAGTTGGTTTGTTAAGTAATAATTGGAAAGAATTTCAGACTGTTACAGTTTTAATTACAAAGGTCTCTGGTGAACTGAGTGCAACTCAAGCTGCAATTAGATTGAATGAAAGGAATAAGCAACTTTTAAAGAGACTAAAATATTTGAAAATACTAGTACTTAAAATAACAATTTGGGGATTTTATTGAATTGTCTATGTAGTTACCCCAAAAGTTTGGAACAATTTTGCTTGAAATGGAGAATAGGTGGACATAAGATTGGCCCGAAGGTGCAAAGCTTCCTCCCAGATTTCAGCTATTTCTGGATCCCCCATTTTCACAGTTAAAATCTTAAAGTGATTCCTATTTTTCCTATAGGATTTTCAAATTAGCTTTGGAAAAGAAATCTCAGTAGCAGTCAAAGGATGTTACTTTTTCAAAATTTAATGGATCTAGCCTGAAATTCTGAAGACCTTGGTATACATCATGGAGCTTTTCTGGGCGTCTGTGTGGAAGAAGTAAGATGCTAGGACCGCCAAGTGGGAATGGAGACAGCRGCAATATTCTGCTTGTGCTAACCATTCTCATCGTTCTTTTATGGTAATAAATTGAATTAAATCTTCAGACTTGAACATTCTTTTTATACCATAAACCAGTCCCAGCAAAATAATGTTTTGCTGTTAAAAATCTTGGTGTTGCACCACCAGGGAGGCAGGAAGTCCAGTGCACAGTCTGSGGGGTGCAAAGCTGTGCTCCCGAAGCTTTGGTCCCTTTGGAGCCAGTGACCCAAGACTGACATGTGCTGTGAATGAAGCAGAGAGGCRCAGGGTGTATATTTTATTTTAATTGCTCTGAAAATTTAGCATCAAACCACAGCTTCCACAGTACACCGAGGCTGGGGGAATAATTAATCAGGTATGGCTCATGTCAAACTACTGACGGTGAACAGGATACAGTGGGTCACTCATCTTGCCCCTTTGGCAGCAATATTAGCTCCACTATCTCATGAATAGAATCGCTTTCATTATAAGTGACACAGGTAAACAGCACAAAAAATGCACCAAAATAATCGAGGCAAAGGAGGCTGTGCAGAATGACCGGGATCTTTTGCCAATTCCTGAAGCTCCTTTAATGTTGAGCTCTTGGCAGGCCCTCCTGCAGGTAGCCGGTTTCCCCTCGGCTGCTGCTTGG